AGCTAATTCTAACCCGACGTCAAGAGGGGAGGGCATTGCCATTGAAGGGGGAATGAGCCCTATCTGCCCTGATATGAAGGTTGCTGGTAACATCTGACATCTGATAAGGAAACTATGGAAAGAAATGTCGGAGTGCCTACTTACTGATACAGCCTGAGAATACGGACCGATATTCGCTGGTGCCCAGTAGCTAAGGCCCTGAACATGTAATGAAGATTTCGATCTCGCTGATATTTCCCTGCATGCCAGAGCATCTAAAGTAACTTTTTGTGAAGGGGGCATGGTGACAGCTACACACGCTCTTGCAGGAGGAGATGTCCCAAAGTATGAAGCATATACTCGATTGAATTCCATAAAGTCATCCATCGAGGCGAGAAATGCATTGATATGGATTACATTCTCTAGCTTCATTCCTTCTTTTTGAAGGATTTCTGGTTGCAACTGCATTAGCGCCATTGAGATTTAGAGTCAAAGTTGTCACCTTTCAACAGTTGAAAGCTGAATAATGTTTGATCTTCAATAGTGACTGGGCCTTCTGTGCCACAAGAGATACTCCCTATGGCAATCCAATTACCAATTCGTTGTATGGAGGGCTGGAGAGATGTATTGTTGCTCATTTGGAAGGTAGAAGCCACATCTCGTTGAACTGGATCAGGTAGTCCTGCCGCTCGTGTGATCGAATAGATGTATTGACCAATATCACCAAGTAATGGAAGGTTCGGTGTGTGTGATCCCACATCTTGAACTACGGCCTTGGTCTGTAGAGTAGCCGACTTGATCCTTAAATATGCAACTGTCGCGAAGTCTTTATCGTCTTGGATAACGACTTCCGTCTCTACTCTATTTTTCTGAGAGGTTTCATTAAAATAATTGAGTTGAACATACAAGTTAATTTGCTTTTTGAATGCAGGACAATCCAGTGTTAAGGTTTCGTACTCCCCTCCTTCTCCACACACATGAGAACCAAACCTAGTATTCTAGACATCTCATAAGATGTGGTGCTCATGTATCGGTATATTACTTACTAGGTCC